GTCCAGCTGGTCAAACTAAGAAAGATTAACTCACACATGTCCAAATTCTCTCTTCAAGTATGGAGGAAGGAATTTTATGCTGGCCATTAGTGAATTAAATGTTGTGTTTGCCAAGATTTTCCCATCTGTGGAGATAGCAGTTGGGGATAGCTGGGGATTTTGGGGGGGAAATTGGGTCTTGATTTTCCTTTTCTAGAAATAATGCCAAAAAAAAGGTTTTGAAAGTGTTGAAATTACATCTTGACACTTAACTCCTCCACCAATATCTGCTTTATATTTAATTTATAATCCAACTATATATTTGCAGACCCAAAACCTAAATGAAACCATTTGAAATTATTTGAAGTGCAGTGTTTCAATTGACCTTGATCTAATTTGAGGTTTATAAATTCACCAGACTTCTTGAGATTAAAGTGTTCTGTCTTCACTTAAGCATGGAAACATTTTCAAGCCTCAAAAATTATGCCACAATGGGGAAAATGTCTCCTGCTCTGCTCTCCTAGCAGTCTGAGGAAATGAAGGACGGAGTCACAAGATTTAAAGCAATTCACTTACCGCACTTTACTAAGTTACAGTTCAACTACAGTAGTTGACCATGTGCCTGTTTTTTAGCACAACAGTCACTTTTGATTCCCGCAGCTAATACCGTCTCTTCTGCGCAGTCACTCCAAAAAATGTGTTTCTTCTGCAGTGCTCGTAGAAAGTGAGTTCATGTCCCTGTGACTGAGTTGCCAATGTAATTTGTTCTAGCAACTTCCCTCTCCTCTCTCAGTAAAATAAGGTATACCGTGCTCATGTCCCCATGCGTGAGCTCTCCTCTGTCTGCTGTTCAGAGTGCAGGGGAGATTATTTATGTTCATTAGAGCTCCAGGTGAATTGCCAATACATAAGAAGCAATGACTAATCTCTGTGTGCCTTTTCTTCTGCATTCATTGTGGGAGGGTCCTTGTGCTGAACTATATTGTGAGTTACTGCTGTCACCCAAAATTTGGTTACGAGGGGCTATAATCTTCAGCATCAGGGAAGCAGGATGAGCTGCAGCCCATAGGCTGTCACTGCCGCTCTGTTCCCCAAAGCTGTTTGCCAGCTTTTAATCAGGGATGTGAAGTTTTCACGAAGGGATTCAAACACTTCCCACTTCCAGTCTTGAGTGGCTCTTGCACCCCAGAAGTCTCTCCAGCAGTTTGGATTTTCACTTTGTGTCCCATGTTTAAACCCAACATCTGCAGAGCAGTTCCCTTTTGGCTTTCTGTGGTTTCTGAAGGGCCAAGTATTGCTATAGGGAGGCCTTCAAACAACTGTCAGATACTTGTTCTCAAGCAGCTTGTTCCCACTTTGTTGCTGATTGTGCTGTACAAGTTTAAGTCTCTTAGTTTTTACTTGCAAGTTGATGCTTTATGCCCTGGTCATTTTGGTTCTTTGTGTTTTACTGTGTATTTGCTTGGGGTTATTTTTCTTACTGGTATATTAAGGTGCATTATACTCTCCAGGTGAGAGTCTCTCTCTTTGCTATGAATAACCAGTTCCGCCCTTGAGACGTGGACCCAGACTTAGCCTTTAACATTGGGCCAACCTTCTATTCAGCAATGGATGGTTCCTTCGCCATCCTTTTCAAACCCAAAATATTAGTTGTATTTGGAGACACAGGTGTCTCCAAAAAAGGAGACACTTCCTACCTCTTAGCCAAAAATATATGAAAAGGATGGTAAACTTCCCCTCAGCCAGTGCTGTATTTGTGGTCTATACTCTTATGGCGTTAATTTTACTACAAGCCCTGAGATCTGATGTTTCCTTCCTAGTTCTTATCTTCCTTCTCTGCACATTGCTTTGGCCCTCTGTGTAGCTCGTTGGATGCACTCAGCTCTACTTGTTGATTACAGAGAGGGCTGGCAATGGCAGCTTGGGAGAAAAGAAGAAAAACAGGGCTGTTAAGGGTTGGTGTTTTTTTTTTTTTTCCCCCTCATCTTGTTTGGCTTTCTGAAGGTCTGAAAGCTTCAGGAGGTGCTAGGAGAGTGAGTTAAACTGTGAAAGACAGCAAAATCAGGAAGCCAAACTTACAATCCTACAGGGGTGCTATTCCCATAATGTGCAGAAATACCTTTGTGCACGTTATTAGCTGCTGGGGCAGCACTTAGGCATGTGGGATAACCTGATTAGAGAATCAAAGAAAACCCTGTTAGCTCCACAGGCCATATCCTGCCTTACAGCAACCTGATGTCAAATGGGTGTGAATCAAGGAAGCTTTCCCTTTGGCATCTTCTGGTAACACCTTGAAGAGAAGGGTCTGAGCCAGGGTTCTAGCAAGGAAAGAGGCTTAAGCAAATACACTCCCAGACAGGGAGTGATCTGGAGTCTGAAACTAATGACTTTGTTTTTCCTCACTGGTACAGACTTGGAAGGATAAAAAGAATAAATTTCTCAGGTCTGATTTTCAGGTTGTAGAGAAGGTTTAATCAGAAGCTGGTTAATTTAAAATGCTTGTCTTGCTTGGCTATGAGAATGTCAGCGTGACAGAGCTGAGATTTTGGAGCAGAAGGTGTGTTTTCTGAAGTGTGATTACCTGCTGTCCTGGTCACTGCAAAGCTCCCACCAAAGTCAGCGTTAATGTGAGATGTCAGACAAGATGATTCTAATGATCCCTTGCTGTCTTAAACTCTGTGTGTCTGCAAAGAGCGAGTAGGAGTTGTATCAGATCCGTAGTGAGAGCATTTCCAGGCTGCACTGTTTGGTGTTAAATCCCTTTGCAGGGTGGATTGCAGCTGCAGGTTTCTGCTCTGTTCGCATAGGCTGTGGTAGTAGATCAGGGCAACTGCTTAGCAGATCAGCCCCCAATGTGGAGGTAAGTTGTGAAACTCCCGACTGTGTTGTGGGTCCTCAACGTTTATCGGAATTCAAAAAGCGATCGGGTAAGTTCATGGGAGAAACATTCGCTTGAGACTAAGTATGGAGAAGCCGAGCTTTGTCTCAGGAAGTCCCTAAGCCAGAAATTGCTAGAGCCTGGCAGCATATCCTAAGGAACTGCTGTGTTTTGCTTGCCCTGCTCTCATACTTTGGCTTCTGTTGTTGGGAACTGTTGGAAATAAAGCAAGTAGCGACTTGGTGAGGCAAATGCTCCGTACCTGCGCATATTCAGAAGATGTCATACCAAATGCCTGATGAGCAGCACAATCTTCCATCAGTATCTGCAGGTATGCTGCATTCCTTCCTTGGCAATATAGAGAACAGCATGGATGCGGACTGAGATGTGATCTACTTATGCAAAGCAAAATGGTAAATTTGCCAGGTTATTTCTCCAAGGAGAAAATTATTGACCTTGCTTTTTCTGGCATACCAGCTACTGTTATAATGATGATGATGGTGACAGCAACCAGACAGAAAGGCCAGCAATAATTCTTTCCTGCCCATTATTACAAGGCATAAAGCAAAATCCCGTCTGAAACTAACGCTAGTCTGGCTGTGCTCTCTTAACAAATGTGTGAGGCAGTTCTCATATGGGTTGAAATTCAGGACTTTTAATATCAACCTTTCCAAAAACAATCCTTTTGTTCTTTTGATGTGAACTCGTGTATTTCTATGTTTGTATCTTACCAGTGATTTGCAGCCCAGAGATAATGTCCGGTAGCAAACGTGAGCATAGAAGTAACCTCTCTAAGCTCCTGGGTTATTCATCTCCTGACAGTACATTTTGCCTGCACATGTAAGGGCTGGATCTTGCCCCTGAGAATATTGGCTCAAAGAAGCAATAATAATGCGGTCAGTCAAAGCACTACTTTCCCTGGGAATTTTGTTGCATGAAGAAGCAGAAGAACTTCAGCCTTCCTGTGTTTGTCAACATGATCTGCCTTCTAGCAGCTTTTTATATTTCTGTCCTATTAGATTTTGTCTTTCCTTTTCTTCCCCCCTCCTTATTTCTGTCTATTTTAATCATAATCAATACTGTAATCATAGACTTTCTACTTCATCTAAGGTGCGGACATCTGTTGATAACATTATTTGATAACTCCAGATGCATCAAACAAGAGTAGTGAGTGAAGTTCATGTTACCAAAGTTCAGTGAAATGACCCAGATCATTGCCACATATTTATTGTTTCCATCAGTCTATGTGGGTTGCATCCTCCATTCATGGCACGTGTCTTTAAGGTGCTTGGTTTAAAAGGGTAAGCAAAACTGCGTTGGTGTTTTGATAACTGACTGCAAGGGTGAGTGAGGACTGAAATGAGATTAATCATTCACTGGACCCCACTTGAAAGGTGCAGGGGGGGGGTTTGGCTCCAGTGATTCAGGAGCAGGCCAGTATGTAGAACCTGTGTGGCAAGGATCATGCCCTTAGAGCTGGCATTTCACAGTCATTATCTCAAATATCGTGGGCCAGAGATAACTGAACAGTTTGTCATCCTGAACTCCTGTCCTTGCGATACTCTCATTGCAGACGCTGCTTTGTTCTCTCCCCAGACTTAACAGTAGTCTCTGTGGTGGGAGAGGAAGACCAAGATTTGGTTAGAAGGCATTTAAAGATCCTTTATGGGAGATGTTATTAGCAGAGCACTTAAGGTGGTCTCTGTGTAGCCCCAGGAGTTTGACCTTTGGCTTTGCACTGCACACTGTGGAGGTAGTCTCTAATCAGCTCAGGTGTAAAAGGTCATTTAGACTGGGCAGTCTGGAGGCAAAAACCCAGGAGTGCAAGCTGCATAACTCCCTCCTGTGCTCTTGTCTACAGAAGCTGCAATGTCTCAGACCCACCTGATGTGTCACCTCTGATCATTTATCAGAGCTGCTGAGAGAAGCCTCTGGTTTGTGTTCTCACACTATGCTAAAGACTTGACCCAGGCTCTATGCTGTTATCATACTTTTTGTTGACTGTACTGTGCTTGTCTAGAAGAAGTGAAAACAAAGTACCTAAAGCTTCTAAGTAGATCAGCAACAGCCTCCAACCCAACTGACCTTTGTAAACATCCTGCTGAGATGGTGCTCTCATCTATTGTGTATGTTTTGTTTGCAGAACACGCTGGAGCAATGCAGCGTCTGTGCAAAGCCCATCATGGAAAGGATCCTCCGAGCCACCGGGAAGGCCTACCATCCCCACTGCTTCACCTGCGTGATGTGCCATCGCAGCCTGGATGGGATCCCCTTCACCGTGGATGCTGGTGGGAACATCCACTGCATCGAGGATTTCCATAAGTATGACCCAAGCTGCTCTCAGTGGCTTTGCTTATTGTCTTTTTTTGTCCCTAAAAATCCTCCTTTTTGATTCTGAGTGTCCAAAAAGATCTGAACCCTTCCACTCCTCACTGCCGCTTCCTCCCAGGGCTCTTAAATAGTAGACAGAGCTTTGCTCCAAGCAGGCACACCAAGGCATGCAAGATTAATTGGTTAGGGGCTGGTTGCTGCTTAATCTCAATTTTGCTTAGATCTGAATTTATGGATAACCTTTGTGTTCCCCTATTTTAAATGCTCTGGCGTTCCCCCTGCCTTCCCCTGCACTCAGCATGTGCATGTTTCTCCTCGCTGCCTGTACCTGCACTTCCATGTTGGCGTCTCCGCCCATCTTCCACCGAGCAATTAAGAGAGGTCCTGTACTGTTGCACTCTGCAGGTGTTTGCTTACTGGCTAGAGGGATCTAGGTGTCCACAGGATGCTCACAGCTCCTCTTGTTTCTAGTTGCTAATTAGCTTTTTAAAGCTGCTAAAAATACAGCCCGAGTAATAATTTATAGTGCAACTGCTATTTAAAGTAAGTTGAAAGGTATAGTTGCAAGTAGTTTCTGTCACTGCCATGCTACCACCCCCATCATCACAGCTAATCTAGGGAAGACAGGTAGATGTAATCAGAGCAGAAATGTTTCCCCTGTATGGAAAAGACAGACACATTACACCCCTCAATTAAAAGAGGAAATCAATACTGACAAATGTGAGTTTACATCTTAACCATTTATCTCTTAATTTCTAAGGGGGTAGACTTAATTAGAGCCTCATGACATCAGTGTGTGGGCTTGAAAGCTCAAAGAAGCAGGCTGACTTGACAGAAAGGGAGGCAGCCACGATCAACTGGCATGTTAAAATCCAATGTGAGGATGTTCCCTGTAGCTCAGAGAGGCTGGGTTAATTGGCAGCTGCTGTGTTGCTTTGCTTTTCTGTGCCAGCCGTTGTGTGTAAGGTAAAATTTGGTCCTGAGCACAGGCCCAACAGAAGGCTTACATACCACTCAGGCTCCTGAAGGTTTCCCTCGCACCCACTTATGATTTGGAGACTGCTCCTTCCGCAAGCCAAGGGCTCACGTGCCTTCAGGAGAAAAGTCAGGAGCAAGAGCTGATGTCCCATGCTAAAGTCCTTTGGCAGCAACTGGATCTGGACTTCAGGGCTCTCAGAGTGGGTAGTGGGAGGCTGTCAATCCAAGGAAAGGACACCAAATTGTTGAGTGAAAGATTGAGGGGAAGATGATGGGAATAGCGTGAGACCTAATATGACACTCGGAATGTCTTTGGCCAACCACACATTTAGCAGCACTTCAGCCAGCCCAGTTTTAATTCATAGAATCATTGAATAGTTTGGGTTGGAAGGGACCTTTAAAGGTCATCTAGTCCAACACCCCTGCAGTTGATCAGGGATGACACATTCTCCTGGTCTGGAGGTCAAGTGCTCTACATCTTGTACATCCTCTTGATAACAAAACTGTACCTGATGTTCACACTGTTGCTTAGCTACCCCCTGAGCGTGGGCCCCACAGTAGCATGTCCATATCCCCTGAAATCAGCAGGAGTCATCTCTGGGTCCTGGGAGTTAATATTTGGCTCATAATGAATTACCCACAGTGGCCTGGACAGTTGAAGTATTCTTAAGCACCACATTTGAGCTAAATGGCACAAGAAAGCGCCTGTATGAAGCAGCATATAATTAACTGCGATTACAGCTCCGGTCATATCGTGATCCATTTAAGTTACTTTTCAGAGCGCTTGCTATAGCCACTGTTCAATTTCCTTTTTCGTTAGATCGCAGCTACACAGACATCTTTCATCTGTTGCCAGTGAAATTAATATTTTTCTTTATTCCTAGTACAGATAGATTTTTTTTTTTTTTCCTAAGCTAGTTAATTCTGATGTGGTTCACGTGACAGGCTGGGTGGCAGAGTCAATCTTTCCTAGGCGTTTCAGAAGAGAAGGGCCTTTGATCTCCTTGTGTTCTGATGTTTGCCATAAGCATTGCCCTCTGTTGCTCCATGGCCCGTGACCCTGGCTCTTGTTATATGGCAGCAGATTCTGTAGGTGTAAGTTTCTTTTTTTGTGAGCAGAATTTGCAGCCAGGGAATTGGTGCCCATAGGTTTTGAACCAAAACAACAAATAATGGTTCACCACAGGCTAAATGTTCTCAAGCATCCCTATCTGCCTAGGAGCAGAGATGGCCGCTTCTCATGGGCAACTGGGGGGGAGGAAAACCAGAGCTTATACAGAACATATGTGAATTAGCCAGAAGGGCATATGGTGGGCAGTATAAGGGGGAAAAGGAAAGGTCTGTGCTCCTTTTGATCTCTGAGCTGACCCTGATTCAAGCCAGTCCCTTCATGCAACTCTGACTCAGGTGGACTGGAAGAGAGAGCGTTGATGTCTCTACACCCAGACCTGTTCCCTTTTAAGCCTGGGCAATCTGCTAATGGATAACTGAGAGCTGGTTTTAGCTAGAAAATGCAGCTAGTCAGAATTGCCCTGATGCTTCTTGTTTGAGAGCAAGCATAGCCCAGAGTAAGCTCCTGTGTGTGTAAGCAGGAAAGGTGGCTCAGAAGTTTAAAATGGATGGGATGAACCTCAACAAATTAGTGTAGTGTAAGGCAAATCTTTTTACTGTCCCTATTAAGGCTTTTTACCTATTTGTTCCAATTGCCAAATTTTAATATTTTGGGTGGTGGTTTTTTGGTTGTTTTTTTTTTTTTTTTTTTTCAAGAGATGCTCTTGAAGCAGATCCTGGTCATCTTTCTAACCTTAGGATTTGCATGGACTTTCTTAGGCTGGGGGTTGAGCCTGAGGGTTGCTGCAGTGCATAGGTGTCACAATCATGGTTCATTCAAGCAGGTACTTTAGGTGTTAATTAGGGTAAGCAGAATATGCTTTGCTGCCTGTCAGATATTCTTGAAGTTCTCTCTAATAGTCTGTAAAATGCTCTTTTATATCCTGCAAGCCTGAAATTGCATCGTAAGGCTAAAGTGCACTTTCCTGTCTTCTTTCCAAGGAGGCAGCTGTGCAAAGCTACAAACTGACACGTGTGTGTGTACAAATGCACGTTTATGGCTTGTTGGAGCAGTTAACAAAAACTTTTGCTCTGAGTTTGAGGATGACTGGGACCATCTCTTCTTTCTTCAGGAAATTTGCACCCAGATGTTCAGTGTGTAAGGAGCCCATCATGCCAGCCCCGGGACAAGAGGAGACTGTACGCATTGTCGCCTTGGATCGTGACTTCCATGTCCAGTGCTACCGATGTGAGGTTAGTATTCTAATCATGTGAAGGACAGAAAGCAAAGGTTGTCTTAATTTCATCACCGCCTCATGTTATATGTGCGACAGGCATACCCTATTGTAACACTGACTCTACAATCAAATTACTTCACTGACTTCAGCATACAAGGAATTTTTCCTCATTTATATCAGCACAAATGAGAAGAAAATCAGGTCCTTTGTTTATAACAGGCTCATTAGGAGAGCAAGAGAATGTGACTCAGGTAATTAGGGCTTAATATTTGAGAACTTCATAAATTATAGCTTGGACACAAACATTGCTCATGTTTATGTTCTTAAAATGAAAGCTAATGCATGTTAGAATTTGAGCAAGATTGTACAGGAAACTCAACATATGGCTCTGGGTTAAAGAATTTTAATGGACACATAAACATGATCGTTCTTGGTTTGTGCAATGCTTTTTCTGCTACTTTCCTGTTCAGTTTCATTATGCACTTCATATAATTTTGATGGTAAGAATCTGAAGACAGAGAAGAAAAATCACCTTAAAGCAATTAACATGTGGGAACAGCTGTGTTAGGGAACCTTCAAGAATTCTTCAATGCAAGTGTTACTTGTTGGATAATACATCAGCCAGATGGCAGGGTAAGAAAATGAGACCAAATGTATTTCTTATCACAGTTGCAGGTTTTAATAACTTTAACCAGAAAGAAGGATGGACTGAAGCTTAAAGGTCTAGGCTGAAACTTGAGGCATCTGGTTCACTTCTCGGTATGACCTTGGCTTCCAGGGTACATATCAGCCCATTACTTAGGCCCAGTTTTTTTAAAGACACTGAGGCATTCCTACACTGTTTTTTTAGAGTCTAATTCATCATACAGCGTGTCCCCATGCTGGCTGCTGAGATACCTAGGCTTTACACACCTGAATGTCAGAAGCAGATGCAGTGGAGAACACAGACACTCACTTGGCCTTGATCTCCATGTGCCTCAGCTATCTCAAAAGGATCAATAAATTATATTCCTCTCTCCACCATGTGCTTGCCAGGTATATTTACAAATACAGATTTATGATGAAGAGGCATGGCCTCTAAGCAAGTTGTAATCCCCTCACCACAGCTCCATCAGCAGTCTTGGGCCAAGTGATTGCCTGATTACAGAGTTGAGGGATAATTCCCAGCTTCCCTAGCAGCTCTATTTAGCCTTATATACTTAGAGGCTGAGGTCTCTGAAGCAGGTTTTGGGTCTTTTAGTGGGGTTTCCATGTGCCTGTCTCAGTGATCTCCTCCTTTCAGCCACAGCCTTTTGGGCCGATTGCAATTGTCACACAAGTGACAATTCTGGTAAGGGAAGACAGGCAGCAAGTTTGCCTGGGATGGATGCTATAGGTTTGTGACAGTAACTCTTCCAAAGGAGATTACCTGTAGTCAGATATTGGTACCAAACTTCCTTCCCAGTGATGCTTCTTTTATCTTTTTTTGCATTAATAAATAAGTGCTAAGTTTGATGTTTTCTCCAATGCTAAAGACCTTTCCTTCCTCAGCAATGTGAAGGGAATAATCTCCTTTTATTTTCAATTGGATTAAATTCAGCAGAGGGCTTGGGAACCCATCTTCTCTGCAGCATTGTTTCTTATCAGGAAATGGCTTAATCATGAAAGACATCACATACCTCAGCTTCAAGCTTTATGCTGACTCAGGCCGGATCCTGTTACAGGGCAAAGAGCGAGAAGAGAGTTTCTTTGACTAATAGGTTCTTTGCTTAATCTTGTTGTTCTTTCTTATTTACTATGCTCTGTTTCCTTATTTTCTAGGACTGTGGTGGCCTCCTGTCTGAAGGGGACAATCAGGGCTGTTACCCTCTGGATGGGCACATCCTTTGCAAGACCTGCAACTCTGCTCGGATCCAGGCTCTGACTGCCAAGGCCAGCACTGATCTCTGAGTATCAACTGTGACCCTCCCCAGATGCCCATTGGGGGATATTGCACAAGCTTTGCATGATTTCTTTCCAGCCTAGGGTCTGAATCTCTGTTTGGAGGGAAAAAAAAAAGTAAAACTGGAAGGCCTTGGAACAAGAGGGCAGTTCGAGAGGCCATGTTCAGACTGCCCATGACAGGCAGCTGATTTAGACGTGACTTTTCAGGAGGGCAGCGAGTGAGTCAGACCACCTGCTGTCTCTGCAGCTGATGGAGATACATAGTCACAGCACCTAAGTTATCTGCCTGTAGAAGGAGGTCTGAACGTGGTCCTAACTATATTTCTGCATTTTGATTCCTGTCTCAAGAAGTACTTGAAGGTAGAAGGTGAAAGATGGCCGAGCTAGTTCTTTCTCCCAGGTTATTTGGAGAACCTGTCCAGCTCTCATTGAAGTCATGGGGAGCTTCCCTTTGACTTTAATAGAATCTGGATCACCAGCAGAAGTAGCTCCACTGCTCTAGAAGTCCTCCTCTCATCACAACTCACACAATGCAACTTCAACTGTACTGCACTTAAGAGTGTAGGTGTGACCTTGTCTCCTTGGGACACAGATTTGTTATCTATATCTTTTGTCTTAGGCCCTTACTTGTCTCCAGTCCCTTCCAGTTCAATAGAGTTTTTTCTTTTTCTTATGAAATTATATTTTGCTATTGCATAAATTTATTCAGTAGTGATGCTTCCAATTCACAATGTATGAGCAATCACAGAAAGATGTGAGCTTGCACACACTATACACTACACTACACACACACACACAATGTGCTTTTGATTTACCAGAGGTATAAGCCAATCATGTCTGCTGAGAAGGTCTTTTAAGGATGTGGGGCTAGAAACACATTTTTAAAATCCCAGTAGTTAAAAACAAAAAAATTACTACACAGAACTGCAGTGGAAAGCGATGCTCAAAAAAATCTTATGCCACTCTCACACACCCCATTCTAGTGGGACCACTGGCAGTGTTGGTTTCTGAGTATATGTTTAAGCAATAGAGTCTTGTTCCATCTCTGGTGTAGTAGAGTGGGGGTAGTTTCCTTCAACTGTAACAGAGACTGAAGCAGGCCTTGGGATATGCATTTCTCTGATGTTAACACACTTGATCTGAAGTCCTTATTAAAAAAATTAAGGATCTTATTTCAACAACAGCAAAAAGGATCCTTTTAAATACATGCTGTTGTTCAGTTTTTATCTTAAGAAAGCTAAAGAAGGTATTAAACCCTTCTCTATGCCATTCCAGAAAGCAATTTTTTTTTCCTCTTTCATTTTCAACCCAGCCACTTAACTTCTCTCTGGTGAAATGTCATTGCAGAAGAGTGCTGGGCCACCAGCATTTTCATCTTCAGTCCAGAATTAATACGTATGCCAAGGTAAATAAAAGCTGGGCACAGATAATCTTTTTTTTCTCATGTTGGTTGGGTTTTTATTTAGTTTGGTTAATTAAAAAAAAATTTTAAAAATTAGAAATCCACAGCAATCCGAGCAGCTATAATACTCTTGTTCATGAAACCCATAATAACTAAGGTGCAAATTACATAGTGAGGGAGTAATTTTCACATCACTGAATTGACATTAATATCTTATTTGCAGATGTAATCAAAGAAAATACCTTTTTTTGCACTTAAATTAAGAAGCAGAACTAAAACAGTTGCAGGCTGATTGACCATGTAAGTGACAAATTGGCACTTTTCAAGAGTAAGTTATAAGAATTTTTTTTCATGCGCCCACTGAAAAACAATAAGAATGTGGTGGTTTCATCTTTATTCTCCATAACAGAAGCCTGATATAATTATTACCCACTAATGCTGAAAAGAAAAGTTAGATGAGCTAGGCTGATAGGGAACAAAGAGGAAAAATTGAGATACTGCATCTCCTGCAAATGGTGCATTTCCTTTCAGTTTAGCACTAACCTTTATGGAAGAGCATGGTGAAATTTAGTAGTTTTAGCTGTATACAGTAAATTCAAATACAGAAATACCGGTCTGAAACCTCTGTTCCTTACATGGTTTATATGTTGGCAAACTCCACCAGTGTCAGGGAAGTTTCCCAAAATTCACAGCTCAGAATGAATCCTTCTTTGTAGAAGGGTGGCATCATTAAGCAAAAGAAATCGTTCTCCACCATAGTGGCTGTGCTGAAGCAGTTTGCCTTTTTATACTAGATTGCTACCCTGGCCTTCAAGAATTTTACTGCCTCAGACATAAACAGATTTTTGTGCACCATGACTCCTGCCAGGTTCCATCTGGGCTCCTGTTCCCTGAACCGTGGCACGTAAGGTACTCCTGAGCTCGCTTCTTTACATGCAGTCTGCACCACCACCAGTCAAAAATCGCAACTATCGAGTGAATCCAGTTTGAACTAACCCTACAAAAACAGCAGAGGTCAGAGGTGGGATTGTTAACACCATTGTATCCCTGTGGAGGATTGTACATTTGCGAGCACAGGGAGGGATGTGACGCACTTGGGTGCGGAATAAGGCGTTCATCAGGCAGCAAGCATAGCTCAGATCTTCCTTATTCTTGTTAGTGTAAATCAAGTGACTGTTGAGACTCTCCTGAATAACACTGGGGTAACTGATGGAAATGAGCTATTGTGCCTCCCTGCAGAATGTGGCCTAGACTAAGGAGGACCGAAGTCCAGAGCCTTTTGGCTTTTTATGGCCCTGCCAGAGGCTGGACTTGGAGCAAGTTATACAGCTTCTCATCTTCTGCCCTCTGCACGAGAGGACTTCTTTCCAACTTCCCAGGGACGTTATGGGAATTAAACTAATTACAGATTGGCCCAAAGTACTGATTTTTGGAGTTCTGTCTTCTCTTTCCAGAAAAGTTTGCTGGTATGTAGGTTTGGGATTGCAGCCCATTTCAAAGCTAGGGGCCAGCCAGGAGATCTAGATTTGAATCCTCTGTGTTACTAGGGTGCTGTGGTGAGTTGGGCTAGCATGCAGGGAGGTGAGAGCCAAACTTTTCAAGCATTAAATACACCATGGATGGAAGATGTTTGACAAAGATTGAGAAGTGTTGCTATTTGAGGTACTGTGGCTAACTTCTAGACCTGACACATCTGGGCAAAGGTACTATCGTGCTTTTGTTTTCACCCCTAAAACACCA